TATTTCATATTTTATATTAAAATATGGTATTATAAAATATTAAATATCTTGTAAAATATTGATTTTTCGACAATTTTACTGTAATACTTTTGTATGCAGAATAATTAGAGCAGTCATATTATGTAAAAAAAATCATATAATTGAAAAAATAAAATTGGCTTTGAAATCTCCGAAGCGCTTCTATCTGAACAAAAATTATTATCGCCATATAATAGCCCCCTACGTACCAATTTTGGTAAAAAAATTTTTCTCTAGACCTTATAGATTCCAAGATATTTTAGGTACTAATAGTTACTGAGACACCTTGTATTTTTAATTTTCGTTTGTATATTAATAACAGTATATATATTTAAATATTTTTAGAATAGCTGCAAGAACATATTTGAACAGTGTATCGAAAAATAATTAAATAATAAATATTTCTTTCAGGTTCGAAAAAGATTTGCTCGATAGAGCTGAAGAGGCAGCCAAGTCATCAAAAAATGTGTTGGTCGGTGTTGCACTTTCACGGGATAATAAGATCATTAAACGTAATGACAGTCAATCGGACGATGATGAATGGCAATCTGATCACGTATTTGATAGCATTGCCAGTGACTCTCCCAGAAGAGGTAGATACGTGTTTTAAAATTTTATTTGAAAAATGTTATAGAAAAGAATATACTCTCTAAATCTGAATCAGTGCATAGTCACTGATTATCAATGGTTATTCATTGAATGCCAAGTATTTCACTGATAATCAGTGAAATTATATAGTTAATATAGTATAATATAATATAATATAATATAGTATAATATAGTATAATATAATATATAGTATAGTATAATATAATATAATATAATATAGTTAATATTAATAGTTTAATCATAAAGTATGAGTAAAATTATAGATTGTAGGTACCTGTCTCAATCAGTGATTCTTCAATACTTTTCTACTAATTCAGATTTAGAGAGTAGCAAAATAAAAAAAATAAAATACTTTTTAATATCATATAAAATTTTTATTTAAAGAGAGACAAACAGAATTTTTTTGTTAAAAAACATTTTTTAATACTAAAATTAAAATATAAATTAAAACAAATATATAAAAATAATAAAATAGCGTTCTAAATCATAATAGTCTGCGTGCATTTGCATGGCTAAAATTTTAGCTTCTCAATTATCTCAAATAAATGACTAAGCATTTTTTAAATTTTATTTGTCATTTTATAGAAAAGAATTTTTTAATCTTACATCATGTATACGTAGACAGCGCAATAAATCTAGAGTCTTTGTACAAAGACGATATTCGAAGAAAAATTTTAAACGCGATTTTCTCAAAACTACATTTTTGAAATTGGCGAGAAAGATATTCAGAAACTATTCGATCAATCAAGTTCTACTAGATAAGGCATACATGTAGTTTGATAAATTCACTCGTTTGATAAATTTCATCGTCGATGAACCTAGAAAATTAATAAAATTATTAATTTAAACAATTTTTATTGCATAAATAAAATAAAATTTTTATTGTCAAAATTGTAATTTTTTTAAAGTACTGCCATTTCCTCAATTTTCAAATTTTTTGTTATTTTATTTTTTCATCGACAAGGTAATTCTATAAAAAATAGGAAAATTTTTTGTATTTTTGTTTCAAACAAATACCAAAGGCGCTACAACTCCCGCTAATTCATATAACTTCGGCGAGGAAGCCGCGCCAAGGTTTGTTTGCAGTTGCTATAAGATCAATTATTTTTTGTACTTTTTAAAATATGTTATAAAACATAAAAAATCTTTAAAAAATTTTTTTGTAAATATTTCTTTAAAAAAAATTAACTTTCCTTTTTTTAGCGATTTATATAAGGCTGCCCCTTTAAACTACACACACACACACGCACACGCGCACGCACACACGCATATACACACGATGAAGAAATTTCTTCCAATCAAAATTAAAGCTGAATTCTATAAAGCGCATGATGTATCAAAATTATCCTTTTACCGAATATTAAACAAAAATCACAATGATACATCATGCGCATCATGTGCTTTACAGAACTCATATATGCAGCCTAAATATGTTATTAGGACTTAAAAGGAATTAAAAAGAAATTTATTGTGTTGATTAATGATTAAAAATATATTTATGATTAATATAATCTATTAGGTCAAAGTTGGAACTTAGGTTCATTAAATATCTACTAAATGCTTTTTATTATTATATATGTTATTTAAACTTAAAGGTTTTTCAGATTGCTATATAATTTGATATCAAAGTTGACAATTTAAAATGTATAAAAAATTTTTAATCATGAATTCTTTCAAAAATTTAATTTTTGAAAATTTTGACATCAAAGAGAATATTGATTCCACCATTTTAGACCTAAAATTAGTTTTTTAAGTTTAAATAATACAATTTAAAAATATTCGGTACATCCTTAACACATGTAAGTTACAACAACTTAATGGACACCATATATTAGTCACAAATTATTTTATTTTTAATCATAATTGACAACAAATTCCTTTTATTAAGGATTGAAAGTTCTAACATATTTAATTTAATTGCAATAAAACGTGTTACGATATATCGTATTTATTATCTTAAAACACCTAAATAACTATGAGAAACAATTATCTTCGTTTTTGTATATTGTTTTGTTCAACAGTATTACAGAAATGGAAAAGATTATACATTATATTTCTCAGACTTTGATAAATTCAATCGGCCGAACTTAGAATTAGCCGGTTATAAATTCAAATTTTAACTATGCATATATAAAACTTTCTGGGAATCTTTTTCTTAAAATCGAAATATTTAATGGAATCGCAATATTGAAGTTCCTTTTATTATGAATACATCTAAAAGTTTCTTTCGCAGTTATACAGCATCTCTCGGAATCAGATGATATTTCTCCATCTCCAATGAGTCCGCTTGCGCCGCCAATTCCGGAAGGCACAGTGATTGCATCCGAGAAGCGCATGATAATCGTCAGATCATCGCCGCGGAGTATAGACGGATCTTGCTCCAGATTGAACAGTGTCGAAATCGAATCAGCTCCACGGCATAAGGTATATGTAGTACAAGAGTTTTTGATTCGCTAATAATTGCATTACTATAGATTTATAATTATAATTTTATATCACAGCTCTCATCTTCCTCTTCGACTTCTTCATCCGATGAAATCAGAGGTGAATTAAAATTAGGATTGCTATACGATACTAACGCTGGAATACTTACCGTGAAACTTATCGAGGTATGTTTAATTTCTCACGTGAATTACATCTACTTTTTGTGCGCATTAAATATTTATTATTATATAGAAATAATATAGATCAGAATAATTATTTCTTTTTTCGCGTTTTATAAAGGCACACGATCTTCGTGCCCGAGAATTGAGCGGCATCGCAGATCCTTACGCTAAGATACGTTTGTTACCTGATCGTAATAACGTATGGCAAACTACAATACACAGGCGTACTTTAAATCCCGGTAAATATCTTTCTCATTATGTTTAGAAGATTATCGCGAAAAATTACTCTCTTACAGGATTGAAATATTTTATATATATATCTGATTTCTGTCCCTAGTATTTGACGAAGACTTCGTTTTTGAAGTAACGCCTGCATCATCACTGGCTGGAAGAACATTAGAAATTCTGCTCTATGATTTTGATGCGTTTACGAGACATCGTGGATTAGGCTATGTACAGCTGCCTCTTTTCTCCGTGCCGGATCTTGGTACAAATTTGATCACTATCGTAAAACCAATTCTACGATATGGGGCGGAGGGAGGATTTAAGGCGCCACCTCTGGGTGAATTAATGGTCTCTATCTCATATCAGATGTCTATAGAGAAATTGACAGTTATCGTTGTCAGAGCGAGAAATTTACCCATTCTCGACGATCCTGCCAACGCTAATCCGTATGTGAAGGTACGTATGATGCCTGTTCTCCTTAAATTTTCTTACTTAAGATGAAAATTACTTAGGTGTCACTCATCCACGACGGTAAGAATCTTAAAAAGAAGAAATCAAGTATACAACGCGAGGCTACTAGTCCCGTTTGGAACGACATTCTCACTTTTGATATTAGTAACGACGTATTACCGAAGTGTGTCTTACAATTCTCTGTGCTGCGAGCAAATGGTGATCTCTTGGCCAAGTGCGAGGTATCCGGCTCGTGTCAAAGAGAATTGTTTCAGCGTGTATTATCCGGAAAGGGTGCTTCGGCACAATGGTTGCCATTGTCAGAACCAGAAGCGCAACACGATGATAACAGCGAATTCAAATATTAAAAAAATTGCTGTTAAAAAATATAATTATATATTGTATAAGTTGGCTGTTAAAGTGTTAATCTCTCTACACTAAGTACTTTAACAAAAATGTTTTAAATAAAAATTATTTAGTTTTAAAAAGAATAAAATAATGACCTTAATTTGATCTTGGCATTCTCAAAATCGTATCAAGATTGCTCTAGAATGAATCTTATTAATTACTGAACTTGTTATCTTGAAATATATATTATTTCGAAAGCAAAAATCATAAAACCTCGATCAAATTATTTTGTCAAAATTAAATTAAAAATGGAGCAACTTTCTAATAAATTTTTTCTACATGTAATTTTTTTTGGAAGATAATAGCAAGCCATATAATTAACGATAAGTGAAAAACTTTATGAACAATAACTTATATTTTTAATTATATTTTAAATTATATTAATCGAAGCCTATAACGAATCTACAAAAATGTAGATATCTGTGTAATAACACAATTACTATCTTTATGCACTTTTAACAATTTCTAATTGAACTCCTTGTGCTTAAAACTCTTCAGTGAAATTAATTTCAATTTTTACTAAGGCTTTTCTCAGCGATCACAAATAAATTGAAATTTTGAAACTTTCTCCTTTACAGTGCTCAAAATATTCAATTCAATGATCATTTGTATTACAATTTTTCAACTTTGTTGCAGTTTTTAAGTTTTCTATATCATTTTTTTCTCTTTAAGAATCAGAATCATTCTCATATTTTTCTATTCCTGTTTCCTAAGGTTTTCGTGAATTCATTTTTGATAATTGATTAATGGTCTTAAAATCGAGTGTCAACTGAAAAATGTTTAAATGCACAAATTCAATTAAACCATTAAAAATACGTAGAAAAAATAATTATTTATAATTATTATCGCATGGACATTTATCTAATAGACTCATATTTCGCGATTTGATTTTTTATAATTTATAATATTTAATCTTAATTTTATTTATTTATTCTATTTAAGTTATCTTGATATATAATCATATTTTAAATGCTGTATATATGTATACATCTTGCATTCGTGTGCTTTAGAAACGTCAGATTTCATTTTTTGGAATGTGATTTCCAGCTGTTTTTATTAAAGCATCGCATATTATTAATAAATAAAGTTTGTAAGTACATTTTGATAAAAATTTATACATAATTTCCATATACCTTAATGTCTATTTTTGCTTATTTAATATTTCTAATATTATTAGAAATAATTATTAAAAATAAGGTAATAGTTTTTACTTTATTCTTATCGCTATACATAAATTAACTCCCATGTCAAATAATATTTAGCTCATTCTCTAACGACTACGCTTTTTGTATTATCTTTTTATTATGGTTGATGATAAAAAAGATATAACAGAATTTTATGTATATTGTTCAGATTTTTATGTACATCACAATTTACAAATGTTTTCGCTCCATATACACTAATTGATTAATAATGAAAGAACAGGATATTATATTTACTGATGTATCATCTTATATAATGTAAAAGCACGAATATGTAATCAAATTAAATTACTGTATGACAAATTGTAATAATTATCCAAATTCTATATAGCAGTGCACATGACGTTTTGTTGAATAAAACGGTCTAAAATAAATCCGCCGATAAAAGCAAGTTCTTTTAAGGACGGAGTAATTATTAAGTGCTACATCAAAGATTGACTTAATTTATTAGCACATATTATATTGATAAGCACATAAATTATTAAGAATAAAATTTAATATGATCAGAATTCAGGTAGTTCACTCTGTTGAATATACACAGTACAAAAAAGAATTCTGATATATATGTATGTATAACTATAGAGAGAACAGAAATAATCTATTTTCATCTTATATAGAGTTCATCAAACATGCTTTATGCATGTTTCATTGATACTTTACTGACTATACAGTCCAAATTAATTGTCTGGACAATGCGTTAATATATCAATAATTTCTAAAAATTCAAGATAGAGCAACTTTGTCAAAAATTATCGTAACGAGATTTTTTAAAAGATCGGACAGCTGGAAATCTCCACT